GAATGTAGGAAATGGATAAGAAATGCCACTGTAGAGAGCCTACCTTTACCCCCATGTCACTGTTGAGTGGATTGTGCCTAGAGTGGTCTACAGTGACCCTCTCCTCTAATGACCGAAGTCCATGGGAAATCACCTCATGGGGCTCCTGCCCCAAACCTTTGCCAGGCTCTAGCTTCCTCTTTGACCTCTTCTCCAGACAGACAGCCCTGGCCTCTGGAAACATGAGTGTGAGTACTTAGGGTAAACTTTTCTTTCTCTTGTTGAAACAGGGTCACACTACATAGTTCAAGCTACCCTTGAATGAGAGCCTCGTGCATTAGCCTGGGTGCATCCTGGGTTTATAGGCATGTGCCTGGCCCAGAGTAAACTTTCGGCTTTGATTCCACAGTGGAGGCTCAATCTACAGGGATGCTCTCCTCCAAGGGAGGGAGGAAGCTGGCCTGCGCTTTCTCATGGCTGTCCAGACCTCTTCGTGTATTCCCTCTCCTCCCACGCTGTGCTCAGGCCTAAGGCGGCATATATTCTAGGCAAGCAGTCAAACACTGAGCTCTAAGCCCCTGCCATCCTCCTAATACTTGAGAGGAAGGGAACAATAGTCAGGGAAATGGGTATCTGTCATGTGAGTATCTCATCTTTTAACTCTCATAAATTGGAGGGTAGGACTTGGTAACTATTTTCTAGGTGACTGAGGCCCAGAAGGCTTAAATGACAAGGATTACACAGCCAAGAAGATGCACACAAATACACTGGTCAGAGGGACATGCAGAACTCAAGACCCACGCTGTCTCCCTTCTCTTTGAGTTTGGCGGGCCTGGCCTTGAGGTCCCCATGGAAGAGCAGTGGCAGGGTAACCAGGGCACCTCTCAGACTCTGTTTCCTTCTGTCCCACCCAGAGCCAGCTGAGCCACAGCGTGGACACACTCCCGGGCCGCTGTGGCCCCAGCCCCGCCTGACAGAATGAGCAGTTCAGATGCGGGGCTGGAGGAGGAGCCAGAGCTTAGCATCACCCTCACTCTGCGGATGCTGATGCATGGGAAGGTGAGTGGGTGGGGCTGGCATAGGCCAGTGGCAGCACATGTCTGGTCTTAGTGCTGCTTCCCTGCCGGCGAGACAGGAGGAGCCGGGCCTGGCACATTCATACCCATCTGAGTCTACTCTTGTTATTTCTACAGGAAGTGGGCAGCATCATTGGGAAGGTAGGTGTCCAGTTCTGCTCTCTGTGTTCCCCTCAAGTTGAACTTCAGCCCTGGTTAAGAAGCAACCACTTAGGAAATCTTGGTTTTTGTCTCCCACAGAAGGGAGAGACTGTAAAGCGAATTCGGGAGCAGGTAAAGATGGGGTCAGGGGAGGAGCCCAGGGCCCTGATGTTGAGGGGAGGGAGGTGGCCACCCTTTCCTCTGAATCACTACACCTGGGGTAACTGAGTGCCCCAAAGAATGCCGGTTTCTAGTATTGGCTGGGGCCTAGTGGGTGGGGCAGGCAGGCAGGGCCCCCCCCGGCACCACAGTGGGGAAGAAGCCTGCTGCCCAGTGCTTGTCCCACATCTGCAGAGCAGTGCCAGGATAACCATCTCTGAGGGCTCCTGCCCCGAGCGGATCACCACCATTACTGGGTCTACAGCTGCTGTTTTCCATGCAGTCTCCATGATCGCCTTCAAGCTGGATGAGGTCCGTGCCTAACGGGTGGGATCCGAGGGTGGCTGCCTTCGAGAAACCTGACCCTGTCTCCAGATAGTGGCTATGGGGGAGGGAAGGTCAAGTCCAAGGCCATGCTCTCTTGGAGGACGTCTAGGGAGGAAGTACTCTCCTTATCCCTCTTCAGGAAAGTACTTGAGGGAGGGCTGGGGAGTAGCAGGGGCACACATGGCTGACTCACTGTCTCTCTGCCCCAGGACCTTTGCGCTGCTCCTGCAAACGGTGGCAGTGTCTCCAGGCCTCCCGTGACCTTGCGCCTTGTCATCCCTGCCAGCCAATGTGGATCACTGATTGGGAAGGCAGGCACAAAAATCAAGGAGATCCGGGAGGTGAGCAGAGAGAGATAGCACCCCTGGGTGTCTTCTACCCATCACTGGGAGAGGGAGCTGGAGCTCGGGAGGTGCTCCAGGCCCTTGTGGCCTTTCTCTAGACCGTTGGAGCCAACAGAAGCCGGTACTGTTTTCTAATTGTAGACTACGGGAGCCCAGGTGCAGGTGGCAGGGGACCTGCTCCCCAATTCCACAGAACGTGCTGTCACCGTGTCTGGGGTGCCTGATGCCATCATCCTGTGTGTGCGCCAGATCTGTGCTGTTATTCTGGAGGTGCTTCCTGGGGCGGGGGTGGGGGGGTTGGGGGGAGGGCAGGAGAGAACCCTAGATGCTTGTCACCATCTAGGTCTCATGGCTGTAACATCATGGTTTGGGGCAGGCAGAACCATAGACTGATTATAAGCTCGGGGCACTCTGGGATACATTTCCATGGGAGCCATGGGGATGCCTTAAGGCTATTGGGTTCTCAGGGAGGTTTGATCCTGACAAAGCTTCTCTATCCTTGCCTTCCAGTCCCCACCCAAAGGAGCCACTATCCCATATCATCCAAGCCTCTCCCTAGGTACTGTCCTCCTCTCCGCCAACCAGGTGAGGGAGCCATCAGGAGGGGCTAGAAGCCTTACTGGAGAAGGGGGATCAAGGTGGAGGAGGGAGTGGAATAAAGAATTGGAAGATTGCTGGGCGGTGGTGGCACATGCCTTTAATCCCAGCACTTGGGAGGCAGAGGCAGGTAGATCTCTGTGAGTTCGAGGCCAGCCTGGTCTACAGAGCCAGTTCCAGGACAGCCTGTAAAGCCACAGAGAAACCCTGTCTTGAAAAAACAAACAAACGAAAGAATTGGAAGATTTGAGGAGAGTACAGTGGTGATCGGGCCAAATTATCCTGAGCTCTCATAGCAGCTCCCTTTTTAACCGCTTGGTCCTCACAGGGTTTCTCTGTCCAGGGTCAGTATGGAGCAGTGGCCCCTGCAGAGGTGAGTGACCCACAGCCCGAGACACCCCTTTCTGAATCGCCCCCTCTAACCTCTGACCCTGTTCTCTGGCCCAGGTCACCAAGCTCCAGCAGCTCTCAGGCCATGCAGTTCCCTTTGCCTCACCCAGTGTGGTACCAGGTAGGCACTTCCTGCTGAAGGAGACAGGAGACGGGAAGGGCTGGGCACCCCTTGCGGTGGGAGCCCCTAGAAAACAAGAACAAACCCTCCCAGTCCTTTTCTTCTGCCTCAGGACTGGATCCCAGCGCACAGACCAGCTCGCAGGAGTTCCTGGTTCCCAATGATGTGAGCAGAAGGTGGGGGGCTGGAGGGTGGTGAAGGGGTCCGGGGCATAGACCTTGCTCAAGGGTTAAATTCTGCCTCCCCCCTAGCTGATTGGCTGTGTGATCGGACGCCAGGGCAGCAAGATCAGCGAGATCCGGCAGATGTCAGGGGCACATATTAAGATCGGGAACCAAGCAGAAGGTGCTGGCGAGCGGCATGTGACCATCACAGGCTCACCGGTCTCCATTGCCCTGGCTCAGTACCTCATCACTGCCTGGTAAGCATGGGGTGGACTGTGGCTGAGCACAGGCGGGGAAGAAGGGATAACTTCCTGTCTCTCTGGGCCAATCCCTGCTGCTCCTCAGCCCCTTTCCTTTTCCTGTGGTATTCTTCTACCTGAGTCATTCATGTTGCCTCAGTGATTACTTCTGTCTCTGCCCCTTGTGATGTGTCTCTCCGCTGTTAGCCTTTTCTATTTCTCCTCTTAACCCAAGTTATATCTGCTTGTGTTTTCTGCCCTCCCTACCTTTGCAAAACACACCCGCTCCATGCCTTGTCTCCGGTCTACTCCTCTCCTGCCTTTTAGCTAACCTCAAGGCCCCTGTCTCACCCCCACCTTCCCCTTCACCTCCCCTCTGTGTCCCTCTCTCCAGTCTAGAGACGGCCAAGTCTACCTCTGGGGGGACACCTGGCTCAGCCCCCGCAGACCTGCCCACCCCTTTCTCGCCACCCCTGACGGCCCTGCCCACAGCTCCCCCAGGCCTGCTGGGCACACCTTATGCCATCTCCCTCTCCAACTTCGTCGGCCTCAAGCCTGTGCCGTTCTTGGCTCTACCACCTGCTTCCCCAGGGCCACCACCGGGCTTGGCGGCCTACACTGCCAAGATGGCAGCGGCCAATGGGAGCAAGAAATCTGAACGGCAGAAATTCTCCCCCTACTGAGGCCAGCTGAGGCCCAGGTGGGGGCAGGCAGGACCGCCGGCAGGGGCTGCCTCCACATCCTTCCTGCCCAAGGAGACTCCACCATGGGGTCTCAAGCGCCAGTAATGCCAGACGCATGGATGCATCCCCTACCCTGCCCCGTCTTTGGAGTTCCTCCTCAGAGAGGGGACAGTTTCTGGCCCAGGGTTCTAGGAGTTATGGCAGCCCTCGAGCAGGGGCTCCACCCCTTCAGACCCATGCTTGGATGCCAGGAACGGCCAGGGCCTCCCTAGTGCCCTGCCATGGGAGGATACTCATGTCCTCCTTCCCTTTGGGCTTTTAAAGCCTACTGCCCCCGTGGGAACTGGAGGAAAGTGAGGGGTGGCTGGGGCCAAGCTTCTCTTCATCCCCTGCAGATCCTGCTGCTTCCACTGATACCCTTTTGACTGGAATAGACTGGCTGGGCTTGTCAGGGGGCAACCCAAAGAGGGCTCTGCCTGGGGTGGGGGAGTGGCCTGGGGCGGGGGCCCAGTTCTCAGCAGCAGACTCTGTACAGTTTTTTCAATCCCTGTTTTTGAATAAATATTCTCAGCGACCAGAAAGCCGTGAATACTGGTGTTGGGGTGACAAAACTTCCAGGGAAGGGGTGTAGCTGAAACCCTGGAAAACCCCAGTTTGAATCCAGCAGCCCGAGTTGATCACCGCCCCTTCCGCCTGTCAGTTCTGGGATGAAATTGCAGGACCCTTTCCGGGGTCATGTCTCCCGCCGTTAGCACCCAACCAATCGGGCTGTTTTCTTTCTTTTAAAGATTTATTTCATGCATGAGCGCTGTTTGCATGTACACTTCTACCCCAGAAGGGGGCATCACTATAGATGGCTGTGAGTCACAATGCGGTCGCTGGGAATTGAACTCAGGACCTCTGGAAGATCAACCAGTAGTACTCTAACTGCTGAGGCATCTCTCCAGCCCCCTTGGGCTGTTTTCCTAGCTGTCTGAGTAAGGAGTTTGAGTCGAACTGTCCAGCTTTTCCACGACACAGATGAATGTCTCTTCACTGGTTCCTCCCGCTGTGGCTGTAACCCAAACCCTGTCCAGTTTCTCTCATCCTTTGGCTGTGAGCTCTTAGGACTTTCTTGCCTGTGACCAGGCCGGCTTCTCTCCCCTCTGGGACAGGGAATATCCATGAATTTTAAAAACCTACACTAACTGGAGGGGTCCTTAGGAGGTGGTTCAGAGTACAGATGGGGAAACTGAGGCCCCAGGAAAAGAACACAGGTAGTACTGAGCTCAGAATCAGGTTCTGACCAAGCAGCACCCTCTCCCGTTTCAGAGCCAGTAGTCCAGGCAGAGTACCTGCCAAACGTGTGCGGGGGGGGGGGCGTAGATGTACCCCTCTGATCCCACCCTCCTTTCTCCAACTCAGGAGAAATCTTTCAGGTGGCTTCTGACACACTCGAGCTCTGTCCTGCCAATTCTGGGGTCTGTTCTGGTACCTCGGAAGGGCCTAGGGCAGGATTCTTGCGAAGTCCCTGGAGGCGCTGAAGGAGTGTCCGTGGGTGCCAGGCCTGCGGCATGCATACTTTTGGGGGCCGAGGCAGCGCCTGGCGAGTGAGGCGGCCCAGCGCCAAGCGCACCGGGCGCTGCAGCAGGCCATAGAGGAAGGGGTGAGCCGCGAAGGCGGAGTAGGCTACCCAGGTGACAGCCGCCTCGGCTGCAGCAGCGCGCGCCGCAGGCGCCAAGCACGCGCAGCCATAAGGCAGCCAGCAGGCTGCAAACTGGCCCACGGCCAGGGCTGGGGCCAGGGCCGCCTTGCCCCCGGGTAGACGTGGCCGGAGGGATGGCAAGAAGGAGAGGCGGCTGTCCAGAGAGTCGGAGCGGAGCCGGGTCCCTCGCGGGGGCCGGAGAGCGGCGCGCCGCGCCACCAAGAAGATGCTACCGTAGGCGGCCAGCAGCAGGAGGGCGGGCAGCGCGAAGGCCAGCAGCGCCCAAAGCGGCCGGAAGGGTCCGAGCCCCCCGGCTAGGACGGAGCAGCGAGCCGGAGCCGGAGGTGGCGCGGGCGGTGGTCCGAGCAAAGAGAGCGCGCCCAGGAGCGCTGCCGCCGCCCACACTGCGGTGAGCACTAGAGCCGGCGCCGGGCGCGCGCCTGGCCGCAGCGGGTGCACTATGAGACGGTAGCGCGCCAGGCCGAGCGCGGCCACGCCGAGTGTGCAGGCGGGGAGCAGAGCCGCCGAGAGGAAGCGTGCGGCCCGGCACGATGAGGGGTCCAGAGGCACACTACCCAGCCCCGGCGGCCCGGCCAGCAGGCTCAGAGGCATGATGGAGGCGGCTGCCAGCAGGTCCACAACGCACAGGTGCGCCAGGTAGAAGGCATCTTGCAGCCCGGGCGTGCGCAGCACCACCACGAGCAGAGTGCCGTTGCCCAGCACAGCCCCCACCTCTACGAGAACCGCCAGGATCAACCCCACCGAGCCCGCGAGTTCCGTGGCTCTTATCCCCGTGTTGTTAGCCATCTGAGCGATCAAGCTTCACTGGGGCTGCTATGGGGAGAGCGAAATGGAGCCTCCAGCTCCAGGATTCCCATGACCTGTCCCATGCTCCTCAGGGCCCCTCACCTCGTAGGCTGCCCAGGAGGTGACTCCGACGCCCAGGCTGCCATCTTCTTCTGGGGTTTGGTGGGCCCTATTGATGGATGCAAGGCTGAGCCTGCCGTAGCCCAGCTTCAGCAACACAGCCTCTGTGGAGATGGTACCGGCTGTCACTCTGATGCTGCCCTTTGGAGACACACAAAGCTAGTAAGGGAGGGTTGGGCCCGGCGCCAGCCCCCTTGGTCCTAGCAGCTGCCAGCTGGAGACTGGAGGCTCTTCTGTGAAGCTGTCCAAGGGTACGGCTTACTGAGCCTAGACCCTTCCCCGCCTTGCGCGCGTGACATGGGGCATGGATGGACGGACAGACCAGGGGATAGTTAGGTTCGGCAGTACTTTTCTCAAGGAATCAGTCGGGAAAACTTTTAGGTTTGCGGAGTTCTCAGGGCATGGCACGGAGTGGGTGCTCAGCTAATGTTACCTCACCTTGTGGAGTAAAATGCCTTAGCAGGAAACGGATGCTTGTACTGTCACTGCTGACAATAGAGAGAGTCGGCTCTCTTCTAAAAAGTGCCCTGCCTGTGCATTAGGAAATTACCCCCTCCCAGACTCAGAACGTGCAGCTTGAGTAAACAAGGTCTCGACATAAAACTCAGTCCTGCCAACCGTGGTGGCACACGCCTTTAATAGCACTCGGGGAGGCAGAGGCAGGGAGATCCCAGTGAGTTCTAGGACAGCCTGGGCGTTTCACAGAGAAACCCTGCCGCAAAAAACAAACGCAAACCCCTCAGTCCAGGCCAGCCTGTATGTAGCATTCCTAACATCCCGCACCTTCCTGGCACCACCCCACACCCTGTAGATGACTCTAGGAAAGCCCTGCAACTCAGGGGACACAATCTCAGGTTACAATCACCAAGCCCCATGGCAAAAACCCGTTAGGTGTCTGAAGCTCCTTCTCCCTTGAACCAGACTTGGATCTCCCTAGGACTTTGATTAATGGGGCTCTCAGACATCCTGCGTCCTGAACAGAACCAGGACTCTTGACTATATCCCACTGGCCCCTTGCAGAATCTTCTTGGCAAATTGCTGTCACGATACAACTTCCTATCTTTCTAGCTTTCCTTTCTCCTACACCCAATCTAATCCATCAAGATCCTGGGAATCCACTTATTTCTTCTGTCTCCTCCCGGCGCCTGCTGCTGCTGCCCATCAGAGCACAACAGCACCCTCCTAACTAGCCTGGCCTTGGCTCCTGCATCTCAGGCAGCTTTTCTGCTTTGCCCTTAGGTTCCTTCCCCACTCTCCCTACCCTGTTCTTGCCAGGCGTGTTTGGAGGAATTCAGGCAATGAAAGTTAACTCAGCAGAAAACTGGAAAGTGGGAGGTAGGGGGAAGCCAGTGCTTTCCCTCTGGTGCTTAGCCTGGGCCTCTACAGCCCCCTGTGGAAGACATCTTTTCTCCCTGTATGTCTGGTTTCCTTCACAGAGCCCATTCTGTGCTCTTGCTCTTGCAAGATCAACCTGGCCCCATCACAGTCTCCTCCCATTATCGCTCCAGCTTCTGGGTGGAGGTTGGTGATGACTTCCTTGCTGTTGCTCATCTCTGGATTGCCTCATCATCTCCTGCTTGATAGTTTCTGTTCTTTCTCTATATCCAGTTCCTGGGGTCTTCCATTATCCAATGTAATTCTTTTTTGTTTTTGTTTTTGTTTTTCGAGACAGGGTTTCTCTGTGGATTTGGAGCCTATCCTGGAACTCGCTCTGTGGACCAGGCTGGCCTCAAACTCACAGAGATCTGCCTGCCTCTGCCTCCGGAGTGCTGGGATTGAAGGCGTGCACCACCACTACTTGGCTTTATTTAATGTAATTATTGTCTTGCTGGCTGGATTGTTCCAACTTGTTCCTGACAGTCCACTCTTAGCAGTGTCTAAAAAGGACAGTTGAAAAAATAAATCAGGTCCAGTGGTGGTGGCACATGCCTTTAATCCCAGCATCATGAAACCTGTTCCATTCCCCCCAAGAGCTATCCGTCGCCAGTTTGAGCTCCACTGTCCAGTTGGTGGCCTCTATCGCTGTCTTCTGCCACCTCCCACCACCCCTCCTCCTCCTCCTCCTCCTCCTCCTCGCCCACCACGCTTCCAGGCACAGTAGTTATTTACTGTTTGTGCCTCTCACCTGGCAAACTGCTCTCCAGGATCTTTGCATTGCTGCTCCCTCTGCCTGCCCACAACTCGATTCTTGGTGCCCTATGGTTTGTGTGTTTATTATTTTTGAGGCAGCAGCTAATGTAGTCTAGGCTGGTCTCATGTGCTAAGGATGACCTGAAGTTTCTAGTCCTACTACCTTCATCTCCTGAGTGCTGGGATCCCAGGCATATGCTGCCAGGCCTAACTTTAAAAAATAATTTATTTAATGTTATTTCATGTGCATTGTTGTGAGGGTGTCAGATCCCCTGGAACTGGAGTTACAGATAATTGTGAGCTGTCATGTGGGTGCAGGGAATCGAACCCAGGTCCTCTGGAAGAGCAGACCCATCTCTCTAGCTTCCCTTGTCTAATTTTTGTCCTGTTATTTATTTACTTTGGTTTTCTACTCACAAGAGAGGCCTGTCTTCACTATCTCTTCTGAAAGCACTCCATCTTGGGCTCACATCAATCCTTTTGCCCAGCTTCAGTGCTCTTGCAGGCACTTTCCTGATATACTGTTTCATATATATATGCATGGTTATTTGGAGCCTCTTTTACTGGAATGAAAGAGCTGGGCCCTTCTCTGCCTCTTGCCTCCAAAGTCATCACAAGAACAAGGTCAGCATCACTTCAGCTCTAGAGATAAGGCTCTGGCCTCTTGCTATGACTCATCCCATAATGGAATTGGTAGGTCAATGTTCCATCACTCAGATGAAAAGGGAGGGGCACCGAGAGGGGAGGCATGTGCTCAGAGCATACAACTGGAGGTCTGGTCACCTGCTTCATTGCCATCCCCTTCCATACTCGGGCACAGCTTCCATGTGGCATTTGCCTCTAGGGAGTGAAGTTGGATCTTTGAGATTTTCATTCAGAGGGTGGGAAAAGCCAACTCCTCACTCCTCTGCTGTCTGCCCTGCCCTGTAAGTGTGGGGCAACCTCTTGGGCCTCCATAGCCCAGGAAAGGCTCAGCAGGGTCCATGAGACCAGCAGATGAGAAAGGGAGTCTAGAGAGGACACTGAGGGGTGGGAATTGTGGTGGGTTGGTGGGTGCATTCTCCCTCCCAAAGCACTTTTTTTTAATGAAAAAAAAATAGATGTCGGACATGGTGACACACACCTTTAATCCCAGCACTCAGGAGGCAGAGGCAGGAGGTCTCTGAGCGTTCCAAGGCCAGCCTGGTCTACATAATGACCATAGTGGCTACATAGCGAGACCCTGTATTAAACAAATAGAGTTCTTTGTCGTGTGACACTGCAGAGGAATGCAAGGAGGATAAGTCAAAGATCAGTGCAGTGGGCTCACTCCAGCAGATGAGTGAGGAGAAGGACAGGAAGGGTGATGGGGGAAGTCCTGTGTATATGTCAATAAAGCACTTTTGGCCAATAGGGAACCAAGATAGGTGGGACTAGGAATCTAGGAGGACTCTGGGTAGGAGAAACACAGGAGAAACTCAGAGAGTCAAGATGTACCGCCATGGGGGTAGGAAGCCCGGAAACCTCTCCGGTAAGAGAAATACTTAGATTAGCAATTATGGGATAAATACTTAAGTCAGAGTTAACTAGTAAGAAACAAGCAAGGCCAACAGCTTCATAATTAATACAGCCTCCTGTGTGTTCATTTGGGACTCATGCGGCTCTGGAACCAGGCTGGCAGGAAGGCTTCTCTTTACAGAAGGGTCTTCCATTTCATCTTAGTATTATCGTGGGGAATGTGTCGGGCTGCTGTGGCATGCGTGTGGAGGCCATTCACCTTTATGTGGGTTGGGTTCTGGAGATCAAACTCAAGTTGCCAGGCTTCACACTAGGCAGCTCACAACCATCTCTAACTCCAGTGCTAGGGATCTGATGCCCTCTTCTGGTCTCTGTGGGCACCAGGCATGCAAGTGGAACACAGACATAAATGCAGGCAAGACACCCATACACATAAAGCATAACTTAAGGAGACGTTCCGTGAAACAACTGTCTGGTGTGCACTCTCCCGAATGTCAAAGCTAGCTGGATGTGATGTCACACATTGGCAACACTAGCGCTTGGGAGGGTGAAGTGGGAGGGTCAAGGGTTCAAGGGCAGCCTAAGCAATACAGCAAGACCCTGTCTCAAAAAAGTTAATGTTACCAAAGGAAAAATGGTTGAGGAACATTTTTCTGGTTAAAAGTAACATAAAAGACAGAAAGTGACAGTTGACCCACGAGCAGGACCCTGACCTTGCTTTCTGGCACTTGCACCCCAGGCTAGGACAGGGGTGTCCAGATGACAGCTGTCAATTTTTGAGGAGTGCCGAGCTGTGCCCCTCTGATTCAGATTCAGCGTGTTTATAATGTCTAGATGTGAGACACACAGGGGCGCTTGGTTCACCTGGCAGTGTTTAAGCTAAGGAGACAGAATCAGGTGGGTTTCCAAATAACCGTTTCTGAGTTTGGGATGAGGCCCCTCTTTGGATGCTCGCTCGGTTATTAGAAGAGATAGGTGTTACAGGGATAGCCTTGAGTGGGCAGGAGTGGGTGCGGCCATCACAGTTCAGGTGAGCACATACTTCCTGGTGTTCAGCTGGAGCTGCCATGTGTAGGGCCACCATGGAGAGAACAGAAGCTGTGACCACTGTCTCATAGAACAAGCTGAGGCCAGGGGCTCACGTTTAACCTGCCTGTGAGGCTGCGATGTAGCTCAGTGTTATAGCACTTCCCTTAACATGCCCAAGGCTCCCCTTCAGTCTCCAGCCACAAAACAGAAATAAAAGAAAACCCCCAAATGGGCTGGAGATGTAACTCAGTTGGCAGAGTGCATGAACTAATGTTAGAAATAGGATCTAACCCATCTTAGCCTGTGCCTCTTTAAATATCCCTTTAGGAGGCAAGGTTCTGGGGTCATAGCCATGGCCATCAGAGGGTATTGGAATCACCCTTTGAGACTCAGGAGGGGCCTGGCAGGAAGAGGTGAGATGGATTCAGCAATCCCACTACTCCAAAGGAAATGAAACCAGTAGGTTGATTTTTTTTTCAGCATTGTTCACAATAGCCAAGACATAAATCATCCTGAGTGCCCCGTGATAGGTGAATAGGCAAAGAAACTGTGGTGTGAACATGTAATGGAATACTATTCAGCCTTTAAAAAGGAAATACTGGTGTTTGACACAACATGGGACAACCTGCAGGACATTATGTTAGCCAGGCACAGAAAGACAAATACCACAAGATGTCACTTAATATGTGGAGCCTTAAAAAGTTGAACTTGGGCTGGAAAGATGGCTCAACGGTTAAGAGCACCGGCTGCTCTTCCAGAGGACTCAGGTTCAATTCCCAGAACCCACATGTCATCTCACAACTGTCTGTAAGTCTTGTTTCAGGGGATCCGACACCCTCACATGGACATGTATGCAGGTAAAACGCCAATGCACATACAAATAAATTGTATAAAAATTGAATTTGTGTATACAAAATTCAGACAGGACAAATGGGTTCAAGAATCTATTGCACAACACAATAACTATAGATAATGACAATGTGCCGTCATTTTTTTACTTCATGATGGTGATACATTCTCATGACTGTGCCACTAGGTGATTTTGTTATGGTGTGTAGCCTGTCTATACATACTGAGATGACAACAGTGTCATTAAGTTATCTAACCTTAGTATGTGCAGCCCATCATTGACCAGAACATTGACTTGCATATTTTTTTTTAATTTTTTTTGGTTTTTCGAGACAGGGTTTCTCTGTGGCTTTGGAGGCTGTCCTGGAACTCGCTCTTGTAGACCAGGCTGGTCTCGAACTCACAGAGATCCGCCTGCCTCTGCCTCCCAAGTGCTGGGATTAAAGGCGTGCGCCACCAATGCCCGGCTCTTTGACTTGCATATTTTTGAGGCAGGGTCACACTCTGTAGCTCAAGCTAGCCTGGAACTCACTGTTTAGCCCAGGCTGTCTTTGAATCCACAGTGATTCTCCTGCCTCAGCCTCCCAAGTACTGGGATTACAGGCATGAATCATCATTGCCTGCTTCAGAACATTGTTAATTGGCTTTGTCTCATGATTGTAATATTTTTTTATATACTTGTCTTACTATGTAGCCCAGACTGGCCGCCAGCTCACAGGGTAGTGTTTGTCTTGCCTCTGCCTCCTGACTAGATGGGGCTATAGGTGTGTGCCAATGTGCCTGGCAAGTATTATGTTCTTGGAACCCAACGGAAGTATGGGAGCCAGACAGAGGAGCGTGAAGATCGAGATCATGGCCCAGCCTGGGACTTGGGAAGGGCAAGCAGTTCAGAAGTGGATCTCCAGCAGGTAGCGCAGACGACACTGGCTCTCCTTGTATATGAGGTACTCGCTCTGGCTGAAGTGGGAACGTCTGAACGACGGACACGGCACAGGCCGGCCTTGAGGCACCACTACCTGCTGCCCGTCCAGCTCGAGTTTAATGTCCTGGGTGGGATCTGTAAGGGATGGAGAGCCAAGGGCTCACTGGTGCCCGGTGCTACCTGTGACTCTCCAGTCCCCTCCCCATTCGCCCCCTCCCAACCCCCCCAAGCCCCAACCAATGGCATGACTCTTTCAGCCCTCTCTAGACACCCTGGAGGGATTTGTTGACTCGGAGGGCGTTTGTTGGATGACACAGAGGATCAGTCCTCCCAGGAAGACTGCATGTTTTTGTCTGTATATAGTCCACTCCCTCTGTTGCCCTCTTTCTGCAAACGCCCCAGTCCCTTCCGCCGACTCCACTTTCATCTATAGGCCTGCTGATAGCTGGGGCTCACCAGGCTCTGTTTGGCCTCTGGCGATGACACTGTCAAAGCCAGGGGGGTGGACTCTTCAAGCTGGGATCATCGACGGTGATGTGGTACTCTCTGCCTAGGGCCACCTCGCCCAGGAACATGTAGCCCACCTGGAGGTCCCCACAATGCATGGGAGTAACTGGAGGACACGGAGGTTCAGTGGCAGCAGGAAGCAGCGCGGGCCCCTGCCCAGCTCTCTCCTGCAGTGACAATGTTGTCTCTGCCAGTTTCGCAGCCCGGGACAGCTCTTGCCCTGTGCCCGCACCCCTCATCCTGGCCTGTCCCTCCCATCCCCTCCCCCACCTCCCACAGGCTCTCAGTTAAGGAGTCAGTGACTATCCCAGCCGGGGAGCTGGGAAGGGGCACCTCTCCCTGGCCTGCTCTGTTCACTCAGTCACTGGCGCTCCTCAAGAATCTTTCCATAGGTCTTCTGAGCCCTGCCCCCCCCAGTCAGTCTTCCTTGGGGTCCTCTGTCTCTCGGTAGACTCCTTTGTCCACCAAGGGCTTCGGTCCATTTGTTCTTGGTTATAACCTTGCTTTCTTGGACCGGCAGGTGCGGGGTGGCCTCCAATGCTGTGTTCAGCCTGGGCTGCTGTGGTCACTGTAAAGTGAGGACACCCTGACCATGCCAGTGGAAGCCACTGGAGATGCCTGTGTCCTTCTCCAACAGCCATACTCCTGCCTCACACACTCTGCTCATGGAGTCTCTCAAATCATCTCTGTAATTTCTGTGGCCCTGGGGCCAGGGCCAATGGGGATGGGGGGGTGGAGAGAGAGAAAGAGAGAGAGAGACAGACAGACAGACACAGACAGACAGAGATAGAATCAGAGAGACAGAGAGGCAGACAGAGAGAGGCAGAGAGAGAGAGAGAGACAGACAGACACAGACAGACAGAGATAGAATCAGAGAGACAGAGAGGCAGAGAGGCAGAGAGAGAGAGACAGACAGACACAGACAGACAGAGATAGCATCAGAGAGACAGAGAGAGGCAGACAGAGAGAGGCAGAGAGAGAGAGAGAGACAGACAGACAGAGATAGCATCAGAGAGACAGAGAGAGGCAGACAGAGAGAGGCAGAGAGAGAGAGAGACAGACAGACAGAGATAGCATCAGAGAGACAGAGAGAGGCAGACAGAGAGAGGCAGAGAGAGAGAGGCAGAAAGAGAGACAGACAGACAGAGACAGAGATAGAATCAGAGAGACAGAGAGAGGCAGAGAGAGGCAGAGAGAGAGAGAGAGAGATAGAGAGATAGAATCACCCTCCCTTCCGCTGCCATCTTCTCTACGGCTGCAGCCACTGAGATCTTCAATGTGCACAGCCACCTCTGTGGCTCTGGCTCCAAGTCCCTGCCTCTCCTTCTGCACAGAACATGCTGGCAAGGCCTGGCCCACACAACTTTCTTTCTCCCCGTCCTTCAAGGTTTCTCTTTTCCTGCTCGGAGTCTTTGCTACTCTCATCCTTTCTGCCTCCCTCTTGCAGGATGGCATGTCCCCGACTGCCAGGTGCTTCTCAAGTCCTCGCGACCTGGGGCTCCTCACTGTGTGCTCTGGTCAGGTCAGTAATGCTTCTAGGATTTACCTCTCAGGAAAGGGCCCAGTCCATCCTGGTGCCTCCACCCCAACCCAGGTCTTGACCCAGGGGCACCTCACCATAGCCAGCTGACTTGCTGTTCTCTGAGGCGAAATAGATACCCTTGCCAACACGGCCACCAGAGTGCGGCATGATTCGTAGCCCGCTGGTGAGGATAGCGGCCACCGCGGCCACATTGGTGCCGTGCCACAGCAGCCTCCGGTTGCTCAGTTTGGAGTGAGCCTGGAACCTGTGTCCCTGAGTGGGGGAAAGGCAGGAAATAGTAATAACATGCCGCCTGTAGGTTCATGTGTCCCTCCCTCTTCTCGGAGAGTGTGACTGAAGCCTAGGGCCCCACAGGTCGCTGACATGCACTGGGCCTGGTAGAAACCGGTCAGAGTTTTGCTGAACCAGCTTAGCAAGGAGTGGTAAGTAAACGTTGTCCCTTAAGGGACAGGGTGGTGACATAGGGGCTGGACACTCCTCACCTCTCCTTCTCTGTTCACTTTCCACACATGTCGCAGAGCTGGGCATCTGTAGGTGTCGCTGGTCTGTTCCAGGTAGGTCTGTATTGCCTGTGGAGAACAGAGCCTGGTGACCAAGGCTGGGAGACTCAGACACTAGTGCGCCGTGGTTCTCCACTCCAGAGCTCTCCTTAGGTCTGGGCATTCAGGAGAGAATGCTGAGAGCCAGGGCTCCCCAGGCACCTCAAGGGCAGGAGGGCAGGAGGGCAGGAGGGCAGGAGGGCGGGGCTCACCTTGTACTCGGGCACCCCACTGTCCAGCAGTTGAAGCTGGCACCTGAGGAGCTGGTAGTCCCGGTCCAGTGGGTGTGGCACTTCTTGCAGTGTCTCCTCCCCAGGGGCTGCCTGCAAGGTCTGGGCCAGCTCGATGTCTGCCAGCACCTGAGGCAACGGGCGCCGGGGCTTGTCCGCCTCCTGGGCTCCCACTTCCACCCCACCCTCCCATGGGACAGACGCCCCACCTGCCCGTCCCACCCCATGTCTGTCTGACTTTCTCCTCTCTTGGTCCACAGCCTGCCCGTTGCAACCTGGGTCCCAGGACCATCTGCTCCTCTCCTCTTCGCCCAGTCTGTCTGGTATCCTCAGTGCCTGCCAGCCCTCACCAGCAGCATGTCCTTCTTGGCACGAAGAATCTCAGGGGAGCTGATGGGCGGGGGCCGGCTGCGGCCGAAGTTGTGTGGGATGACGGTGTAGAAGCGGGAGGACAGTTCCTCTAGGCTCTGGCCACCGCCTGCGGGGCCTTTTATGGCCTCCTCCAGAGCTTCCAGGGCCTCAAAGCCCCGCGCAATCTGCTGTTTGCTCAGCTTTCCCAAGGGCATCTTCTTCACATCTGGGGGATGAAGGGATAGTCTTAGCCCTGTCCCCCTGGTATGGGGACCCTGCCACTCTGCTCAGGGCCCCTCTTCACCCAGGTTCATGAGGGTCATCGCGTCCTTGAACATCTCTTTGCTGAAGATGTTGGTGATGAGCTTCTGAGTGGCCGGGTCTAGGGAGCAGGGCTTAACCTCAGACCTCACTGGGCCTCCATCCACCTGTGGAGAGAAAGCCTGAATGGACGCCCACACAGGGAGCAGGGCAGGACACTGGAAAGGGCCCAGGCTGAGGCCAGAGAGGGCGGCCAGCATGAGGGTGGACTTCCGGGCCGGCAGCCCCTTCCCTGTGTCCCCTACTGCCCTCCCCTTCACCTTCACCTCAGCCACTTGGGTTTCAGCGTCCCCCTGCACGTCAATAAGAGTGTACTTGTTGGGATGCACCACAAAGTGGTCCCGCTCCTTCCACTTGTTCTTTGTCTTCTCCCGAAACTTCTTCTCAAAGTCCTTCTTGGCATCTTCCAGGCAGGGGAAGGGGTTCATCTTGGTCTGGCCCACCTCTCCCTGTAAGTGGCAACTTTCAGGGGTGTGCCCATCAGAAATGTCTGCTGGCCTCTGGTCTAGGCTGATTGCCTCTGAACAGCCGAAGGTGAGGCGGGACTCCTGAAGTGTGTGCTGAGGAGGGGCGGGGAGGGGGGGGGAGGCACAGCCGCCATGGGTGGTGGGTCACTCACCACCCGGCCCCAGCGGTTCCAGCAGAAGAAGCGGCCGTCCTCCTCCAGCAGCTGGATGATGTAGAACTTATTATTGTTGTTGCCGATGTTGGTCTGGTTCAAGGTACAGTCATAGTCCTCGTGGACCTGTGTGGGGCGAGGCCGGGAGGCAGCTTGGCTGGGCATGGACTGGGCGTGGGAACCAGCGGACGTCAGGAAGGGTCCTATTTTTGCACTTGGTATAATGGCTCTGCCCTTGGGGACACAGTCTGACTGGCTGTGACTAAGCCCTGCTGTGGGAGTGGGAATTTGGAGGGGATGCGACTGTTCCCTGGGGGCGGGGCGGGGATCTGAAAGAGACCTGGCTCTGCCCTGAGGGACGAGGTTGAGGGAGCGCTGGTGAGCCCCGGGGGCAGATGAGTCAGACCCCTTCCTCGAGTGTGATGCAAGAGGCAACACCACAGTGTCTGACGGTCAGACGTGACACACTGACCTGACAGAACACAGTCTACCTGTAAGCAACGTGGAAGCAAGCCCTGCCTTACTTAGAGACTTTGAACTAGGCTAGAACAGAGACCCCCACGGAGAAGGCTGTGAACCAAACACGGGTGCAGCTCACCTGAGCTCTGGGGTTGCGGCTGAGTGGGCATGCGGGGTCCACACGGATGATGTGCTGCTCTGCAGGGGCTGCTCTGAGAGCCTCGGCAGCGGATCGGAAACTGTCCTCCTCCCCTGTCCCCCGTCGCTTCTTCTGGGAGCCCTCAGGTTGCACTGAAGACTTTCGTTTTGGAGCCATGGTTATCCTGGGGTGAGGGGTAGGGAGTGTTCAGGATCTCCTTTTAGGGAGCTGGCCTCCTCCTAATTCTTGGTACACAAATCCCCACTTTTAAAACTGCACCTCAGATACGCCCCCTCCCCAAGCTGTAAGTGCAAGGTTAGAGCCTGTCCAGTCTGCCCACCCCGGGCTAGGAAGAAGTCGGTCCCTACCCTCCAGCATTTCCGTGCCTTGCCCTGAGGTAATAGGAAAGTGAAAGGAGATTAGTCCCTCCCACTTGTTGACATCTCCCTTTCTAGAACACTTCCTCCTCCTGTCACTAAGCATGGCAAGACAGCTGGACTGAATCACCTGTCTTGGAGGGTAGGGGTGAGGGGAGCGGGGTGGGGGCTGGGGGGCGAGGGCAGCGCAAGAAGCAGCCCTTCTGTAGCCAGATCTACCTCTCTAGAGCTGAGGTATAGAAGCCTCTTCCTAACACTCCGAAGTTCCAGGGTGCCAGCCAAGGTTTCAGATAAGTGGCCTTCAACTGCCAGCGATAAGAAGCCACTTACACGCACCCTGCCCTGCCCTGCAGAGGACTCCAGGGCAGGACCACAGGACACTCACCCCAAAGAAACAGGACCCTGGAAGAGGTGGCTGTCACCCAGCCGGGTATCAGGAATGCTCCCAAGAAGCAAGTTCCAAGTCCGGGCTCCTGTCTGGTGACCCTCTGCAAGCTTTCCGCTTGTCTTATGGTAGGATTTCCCAGCAACCACCAGAGCAGGGGAGAGAGAATAAGGGGTGGTGTAGGATTCCAGTTATTTGGCTCCTAGTGGGGTGAGTCAGAGGCTGGGCAGGCTGAGATTGGTGGCCGGTCCCACAGATGAGAGGACACTAATCTAGACACATCCCAAACGGCAGGGCCTGACACGCCCCTCACGCAGCTTCGGCCAGGCGCATGCAGCATGTATCCGTTACTTGCCCGGTGACACGGGCCCCGGGTTTGGATACTGCCTCCTGTCCAGGGCCGCCTGGACTCCGGTCTCTGTGTTTTAGAGCCTAGCTGGGTAAACTTTTTTTTTTAAGATTTATTTATGTATTTATTATGTACACAGTGTTCTGTCTGTATGTACGTATGCCTACATGCCAGAAGAGGGCAGCAGATGTCATTACAGATGGTTGTAAACCACCATGTGGTTGCTGGGAATTGAACTCAGGACCTATAGAAGAACAGCCAGTGTTCTCTGAGCCTGGCTGGGTTAGCCTTGTCGCGGCCCCAGACTGGGAAAATGGAACGCAGACCTCCGCACCTCTGGCTCCCCCAAGCGGTCATGCGACTCAAGCGCAAAGAATGTCCTGGTCCCGCCCCTCCCTGTCAGGCGGGAGGTAGCAGAGCGCAAGCGCCACAGACCCAGGCCGGAAACAGGAAGAGAGACTTGTGTTTCCTACTCCAGCCTGGCGCCGGAGCTCCTCGGAGCTCTTGGAGGCGTGGCCAGCTGGCCGGCCCAATAGACGATTGGGGGAGTGGCGCGGTCTTCTGCAGGGTCCAATGGAGCTGCGGAGGGCGGGGCCCGCCGCGCCGAAGGAACCTATCAGGGCTTCGGGTCTTGCCATGCGGCCGGGGTTTAGCAGCCATGTGAGTTCCCCCGCGGCCGCTGCAGCACCCACTAGATGAGCATGTCCACCGCTATGGCAACTCGGAAGCGGGCAAAGCCGGCCCCCGGGTCCGGGGCCGATGCGGTGGCCGGCAAGCGGCGTCGGAAGGTGAGCATGGCGTTTCCTCGGGCGCCACCGATCTCGCTACTGGGACAGCCATTCTTCCATCCCAGGGCCCCATCTGGATCCTTAGCTTCGCCCAGGACCCCATCCCATTACTCAGGGCCCCATCTGGATCCAGCCTCGCTCGACCTCTGTCTTCCACCCACCGAATCCTGGGAAGCCTTCCGCTTGGCCAGGGCCAGGCGCTACTGCTTTTCTCAGTTCCGGGGCCCTAGACCAAGAAAGGATCGTATTATTTCCAGGTCGACTCTGCTCGGGACAGGGGCAAATCCAAAGGTGGTGGCAAGATGAATGAAGAAATTTCCAGCGATTCTGAGAGCGAGAGGTGAGCATTTTTTTTCCATCGAGGGGGAAGGGTAAACTGAGGCTCACGGTGAATGGAAGACTCAGTGAGAGCTGTGTGGAGAACTCGGCATTGCCTTTGTCTCACAGATCGTGGGTCTTTCCTCCGATAACTGGCTGTGAGGTGTCTTTTATCTGGTGTGTCTATGGGGAGGGCCCTGGATCCTTGTGGGGGAGAGCTTGCTTGAGACCTTTTTTTTTTCTTTCTTGCTTCATGGCAAGGATGAAGGCACAAGACTGGATTGAGAAGCAAGGGGAGAAGGTTGCAGAACCACACCTGCAACTTCTTGATTCCATTTTCAGACAGTGTCACAATTGCTGGCATCCTTGTTTGAAATGAGTATTGTTCAATGTGGCCCTGGATTCCTAGTCTCAAATGATCCTACGTTTTACCTTCTTTTTTTTTTTTGGTTTTTCGAGACAGGGTTTCTCTGCGGCTTTGGAGACTGTCCTGGAACTAGCTCTTGTAGACCAGGCTGGTCTCGAACTCACAGAGATCCGCCTGCCTCACGTTTTAGCTTCTGAAGTAGTTAAAGACACAGTGTTTATTGACACATATCTAGCTTTCTCTTGACTCTAGCATTAGGGACTGGTTTCACTGTTGGGGATAGGTGGGAGGCAAACAGAGAGGTGTTATAGGAAGGAGTGCATTGTGCAGGTATGTGTTCTGAGAACGGAAGCTTTTTAAAAATAGGGCTTGGAACAATACAGAGAAACCCTGTCACAAAAACCAAAAAAAAAAAAAAATAGGGCTTGGAGAGATGAGGAGTGTCATGGAGAGGTAGGGAAGTCATTCAGGGATCAGAGACAAGTTTGAGGTGTAAGTATCCTGGGGTGGAAGGTACAGAATTGAGGGAGGGGTTTGGACAATCCCCTTATTTCAGTAGGTGATGGGGGTGGCTACAATGTTTCAAAGATTGGGACAAAGTGTCCTCCCTAGGGGTGGAGGTTCTCAGGCCAGGGAATCCTGAAGTCTTCCTTATAAACTGGACTTTGCAAATCTGTGTCCCTCTCTCTGTCCATTAGGGTTTCTCTGTAGCATTTGCCCTGTATACCAGGGTGACCTTGAACTCATAGGTCTACCTGTTTCTACCTCCTGAGTGCTGAGATTACAGGCCTGGCTAGCAATTCTGCTTCTAAAAGTAAACATGTGTTGCCTTAACTTCTCATGGAGACATTCTCTTTTGAAATAAGGTCTTTCTATGTAGCTCTCCTGGAACTAGCTATGTAGATCAGGCTGGCCTCAAACTCAAAGACATTTCCCTGCTTCTGCCTCCAGCACATGTGCTAAACTCTTTTTTTGTTTGTTTTTAATTGTATGTATATACATGTACATGCATGAGTTTGTATGTACTACCTGTGTGCAGATGGTCAAGGAGAACTGAGGCCATTGGGTCCCCTGGAACTGAAGTGACAGGTGCTTGTGAGCCACCAATGTGGGTGCTGGGGATCGAACACAGGCTCTCTGCAAGAGTGGCAAGAGCTCTTACCTGACCATCTTTCTTGCCCACTCCCCCCTCCCCAGACAGGATTTCTCTGTATGGCTTTGGAGGCTGTCCTGGAACTCACTCTGTAGACCAGGCTGGCCTGGAACTCACAGAGGTCCGTCTGTCTCTGCCTCCCAAGTACTGAGATTAAAGGTGTGTGCCATCAACGCCCGGCTTCCAGCCCACTTTTAAGTATTTTAAGAAGTTGTATTATGAAATGATTTTTTTTTCCGAGATAGGGTTTCTCTGTGGCTTTAGAGGCTGTCCTGGAACTCTGTAGACCAGGCTGTCCTCGAAATCACAGAGATCCGCCTGCCTCTGCCTCCTGAGTGCTGGGATTAAAGGTGTGCACCACCAACGCCCGGCGAAATCTATTAACTATAGAAACATCACTCAGTTTTCTTTTACTGATCCTCTAACATGGGCAAAAATAAAAATAAATGTATACACATAAAATTCAGGGCTGAAATATGTTTTCTTACAAAAGCTACTTTTTAACAAAAAAATGATGCCAGTTGTGGTGGCACACACCTTCAATCTCACCACTTGGGAGGCAGAAAGCAGATGGATCTCTGAGTTTGAGGCCAGCCAGATCTACAGAGCAAGTTCCAGGACAGCCAGCGAAACACAGAGAAACAATGTCTTGGAAAACCAAAAAGATAAAAAAACAGAATTGCTAAATTGAATTTATAAGGTTTAATAACAAGTGCTGGTACTGATGAGCCTATCTCCCACCACTTTTCCTACTTTTTTTTTTTTGTTTGTTTTTACGAGACAGGGTTTCTCTGTATTGTTTTGGAGGCTATCGGTCCAGCCCAGCCTCGAACTCACAGAGATCCGCCTGCCTCTGCCTCCCGAGTGCTGGGGTTAAAGGCGAGTGCTGGGGTTAAAGGCGAGTGCTGGGGTTAAAGGCGAGTGCTGGGGTTAAAGGCGTGCGCCACCACCGCCCGGCTCCTACTTTTCTCTATGTCCCTTAAATAACCAATGACTGGTTTGTGTAAACTCAGGAAGATCAGAACTCTGGGTCATGGCTTAGCTTGACCTTCCTGAGAGGTGTTTTGGTTTTGGGGTGGGTACTTACTTTGTAACCCTGCTGTCCTGGGACTGTGTAGACCAGGCTGGTCTCAAACTTATAGAGATCCACTTGCCTTTGCCTTCTGAGTGATGGGATTAAAGGCTCATACTACCACATCTGGTATGTTTTAACTTTTTTTATATTAATGATGTTAAATATATTTTGTGTGCTTATTGTGTGTCTTCGGAGAAATGTCTGTTTTAGATCCTTCACCTATTTTGGAAAAGTTGGCCATTTTCACGTTGTGCCGGGTGGACACTGAATGGGATCTTTCAGTTGGTCAAGTCACATCCTTCAGTTTCACACACGTGTCATCGGCCTTTGGGATTGACAATGGCAGGGCTGGCTTTGAGGAAGCCTAGTCCTGGGGGCCAGCTCCTTAGACTCAGTCCCTTCTTCCCATAGCTTGGCTCCAAGGAAAACAGAGGAAGAAGAGGAGGAGGAGCTAGAGGAGACTGCACAGGAGAAGAAGCTACGCTTGGCCAAACTCTACCTTGAACAGCTCAGGCAGCAAGGTGAGCTGGGGGACTAGATGGAGGTCAGGGTCTCTGCCACAGCCTGTCTGCTGTCTGTGTTGCAGCCCCAGTATCTGGTCACTCACATGGGTTCCCATTGTCCGCTAGTGCTGCCGATGTTGGCTACCTTGTGGAGGGTGGCTAGGATCTCTAATGGGCCAGTATTCTGCATGAAAGACTAGACCAGCTAAGCCCATTCTGATAAATGAAGTCAGGAAGGGACTGTCTAGTTTCCCCTTCCCTCTGCTGAGGCATGGGAGCTTCCTGCAGAATAGGCAGTCATGGCCCAGCCCTGGGGTGGAGGGCTAGGCATGGGATGGGAGGAGGGACGGGGACCTCCCTCAGCCTTGGATTCTGTGGACTGGTCTGCCCTGTACAGAGGAGGAGAAGGCTGAAGCTCGTGCGTTTGAGGAGGATCAGGTGGCAGGGCGCTTGAAAGAGGACGTGGTGAGTATGGAGGGCAGGGTGTGAGTGTGGAGGGCACTGGGCCTCCTCCCCGTCCTCACTCCTCTTTCCCCCTCTCTTTGCAGCTCGAGCAGAGAGGCAGGCTACAGAAATCGGT